TGTTCGTTTTCTCACACAAACCGCTCGTTTCGTGTCTTAAGCCATCAATGTGTACTTACATTTACGAGTCATTAAATCATGTTTAATTTGGACTTCTCTGTGCATGCTCTTTGAGGTGGTGACCATAGACCTCCATTATATGACTGACTGACAACGGTTTGACCTAAAAATATCAAAATTGAAACTACTGCGGAAACAAAGACACCTACTGTACATCTTGGATGCCCTTGAGGTAAGCTAAAACATATCAAAAATTAATTTCAAAGTGAACTATCACTTTAAGGTTTATACATGGTAGTTTTCATGATAATCATAAAAGCACACTGGAAGATGAAACAATTTATCAAACCGCGAGCACGAACTATGCAAAAGCTGCAGCCCTTCCTGCACACTCAGTGTCCGAATTCACTCACTCGATTTCATTCACTCCCTCAAGTGGACTGTATGAATGAGGGTATAGGGGGCGATTTCAGAATTGTAATTGTGATGCTTGCTGTAGGACGTTTTATTGAAGAGTAGATTGTCTGTAAAGCCTGCTGGGATTCGGCTGGGAATCTAACAGGACTGAAAGAGCATGTTCTCACGCAGACAGGTGTGTTTAGGATGAAGGGTCATTGAATCTCTTCACACTTTTCCGGAGTGAAGGGTCCTTACACAGATCTCACCCTCTCGGCAGGAGCACGACTCCCGCTGATCTCTGCTAGTCATCATTACTGTCTGAATATGACAAAAGAGTTTATACAGTGGAACAGACCAACTCTTAGAGGAGAGAACAGCGTGTCCTCTTTTCCGTTGGGTTTCAGTGATATCTCAGTTTTTTTTTCTGTGAACCTTACGTCTCATGTTTTCTCTTTTTGAACTCTTCTGGGTGCTTTCACGGTTACTGTTGCTTTGCTCTCGTGGTTATTTTGGGTCATGTCTGTTGATGTGACGTGTGCAACATCTTACACTCTTAGAAGAAAAGGTGATATGCAACGAACTGTTCTTATGCAATCATTTCACATAGAGAACTTTTTTTGGCATATATAGTATAACCAAAAATGAACCTTTGTTTATATAGTGGCAAGTTTGCACAGGCAAGAAACACTTTATTAAATGTAAAATTCGCATGAGAAGATGGCTTGTAATGTTTAGTTACAACCTTTATTTTTCGTTTTAAAGTGTGTTTGCTTCATGAACGACCCCATGAAAGACCCCACCGGGTACCACTCATCTCCACTACAAATAGGAAAAAGAGGTTACAATTGGCAAGAGATCACCAAAATTGGACAGTTGAAGACTGGAGAAATGTTGCCTGGTCTGATGAGTCTCGATTTCTGTTGAGACATTCAGATGGTAGAGTCAGAATTTGGCATAAACCGAATGAGAACATGGATCCATCATGCCTTGTTACCACTGTGCAGGCTGGTGGTGGTGGTGGTATAATGGTGTGAGGATGTTTTCTGGGCACACTTTAGGCCCCTTAGTGCCAATTGGGCATCGTTTAAGTGCCACGGCCAACCTGAGCATTGTTTCTGACCATGTCCATCCCTTTATGGCCACCATGTCCCCATCCTCTGATGGATACTTCCAGCAGGATAATGCACCATGTCACAAAGCTCGAATCTTTTCAAATTGGTTTCTTGGACATGACAATGAGTTGACTGTACTAAGATGGCCCCCACAGTCACCAGATCAACCCAATAGAGCATCTTTGGGATGTGGTGGAACGGGAGCTTCATGCCCTGGATGTGCATCCCACAAATCTCCATCAACTGCAAAATGCTATCCTATCAATATGGGCCAACATTTCTAAATGCTTTCAGCACCTTGTTGAATCAATGCAATTAAGGCAGTTAGTATGGTGTTCCTAATTATCCTTTAGGAAAGTGTGTGTGTATATATATATATATATATATATATATATATATGCACGCAATAGCAAACTACGTATGTGTAGTTTTATCATGGATCATGAAGTCATGAACTGTCTGTGCTGGAGGGTTTGGATCTGATCTGCATGAAGCTCTTTGGGTTTTTATCTGATGAATAGAGGATCTGGTCATTGTTACCATGGCAATTGTAACCATGAGACCTTTGTGATCTGTTGCTGAGACACAGAGGGCAGGTAAAACTTATTTTGGTCAAATGATGACCGAAGAACAGTGAAGTGTTGACAGCTGGATGTGAAAACCCACATGAATCCATTACGGCTTCTTGTTCCTTCCTCGCCTGCACACTCGAAATGTCTGAAATGACAAATATCTGAGTTTGATGACAATATTGGCTGACAGAATGAGGCCGGGATGCGTGTGTGTTTGTAATTACTGTGATGTTTGATTTTAACTACAAACAACACACATGATCCGCAGGAAATTATCTTTAAATTATCTAAAAATGGCATTTACTTTATTCAAAGAATAGTATCCATATTGTACTTCTGTGCTAAATATGCCTAGCCTTCTGAAGTCATATAATAGTGAACAAAAGTTATATAAAACTGGGCTTGAAACGTGAAAACCAATAGCATTCGACCTCACTGTTACACTCTTCTAGTGATAAGGGTGCAACATAAAAATAGACTCTGGTATGCAGTGAGAATGGAACGACAATGATGAATTTAGTCTTAAATTGGGACTCGATTCAGGAGCTGACAAACTAAGAATAACAAGCAAAACTTTTTCTTAAAACCTCTTTCCTAATCCCTTTTGAATCGAGCCAAAGCAAGCAGAGAGTTTTGAACACTGGCTGGTTATGTCTTTGCTCAATTTTATTTTGGATAATTTTAACCCAGAAGGACTGCAGCTTTAAAGGAGCCCTATGTAAGATTGTGGCCAAAACTGGTACTGCAATCACTTTCAAATAGAGAGCCTAAGTCCCGCCCCTCCGCTTCCATGGGACCTTATGGGCTCTATGCACGGCGTTATTTCCGGTGAAGGATTAAGGATGCTCGATAACTTCCGCCGATCATAGAGTCCAATGCAATACCGAGAATTTATATTGAATTTTATACTCCATGGTTATACTAATGAAACGTTAGTCACAAAAACAGATAAAACAGACATCCCTCGTTGTGTTTATGCTTCTTTTTAAAATTATATTAAATAAACATAACTATATATAAAATTACATCTAAACGTATGTACGTTTCGTTTCAAAGACGGGAGGACAGTAAATATTGAAGACTCCGCCATAATCCCGTTTTCTCCGGTTTTCCTCCGCTTTAATCTACACAACCGGAAATGGACGAGCATCCTTACGTCAAATGCGGAACTTATGCGTGCATATAGCCCATTTCGGAAAAAATATGTGTGGTAGTCGATGGCGAGAGACAACTTATCTTTTTATTCCGTCTAAACTGATGTTTGTCAATTTAAAAGATAATTCTGAAAGTCAAAAACGTCGCCGTTTGTCATAAAACAGAAGAGTAACTTTTAGTTTTATGTGAAAATCGCTCAATCTCCCGACGTAAGACTATAAACAATGACAGACAATAGCCTCAGTAAAGTTAGCTTCATTCATTGAGAGAAAATGTGCGCCTTTGGGGTTTGTAATCTTTGTAATTACGTATTTTCACAATCTTATATCTCAACGGTTTCACATCAAACCGCGATTTTCTTTACTTTAAAATGTATGTTTTAAATTGACAAACATCATATGTGCAATTCAGGGCACAATTCAAACGAGATCAAAATATTGACATTTTGCCTACTACATAGTAGGGAAGTACACAATTTCGGATGTAGCCTTACACTCACAAAACAACAGAAATATAACAAAACAAGCCATAGGGTAACAATCACTGATGTAAAAACAAGTTTAATGCATCTTGAGCCTCAAGAAAGTGCAGAAGCACGAATGAGATTTGAAAACTATGGTGACCTGGATGATTTTCAGCTTTAAAAGACTTCATAAATAGTGTATATATAGTAGTATGAACTAATTATATGGTTCTGCAAAATTTCTTCTTTATTTGTCCAGTTTAATGTCCTTACTGAGTAAAAACGTCAAAATGTATATTACCAGCGTGTGTGACAAATATATTTATTATGTTACAAATTAGAATAGGAATATGTTCTTTTGAATTTTCTGTTCATAAAAGAATACTGTTTTTTTTTTTTATCACGATCTCTACAAAATACGAATCACTGTTTTCAACAGTAATAATCAGAAATGTTTCTTGAGCAGAAAATCAGTATATTTCTGAAGGATCATGTGACATTGAAAACTGGAGTTATGATGCTGAGTATATTCAAATAATATTTTTTTCACAATACTAGCTACTGTTTTTTTTTTTTTTTTTTACTAATTAAATGTAGCCATAAAGAGCAGAAGAAATATTTGTTCTTTCAAAAATTTATTTGTCAAACCACTGAAATACTACATTTTCATTTACATGTATTAATTAAGCTGACGCTTTTATCCAAAGCAACTTACAATTGCTATATACTGTATGTCAGAGGTCGCATGCCTCTGGAGCAACTATAGCCTATAGGGGTTAAAAGTTCACTTCACCCATTTGCATTAAGCTTTGTCTCTTTAGAAACCCAGTCAAATTTTTGAATGGTCATGGTTTATTCTCTTATTTTCCCCTGAGATGGGAGAAATAAGGATTTAAGTGTTTTACTTACTGATATTATCACGTAAAAATCGTTGGTGTCTTTTCTGGGTCAAGAGGGCACCAAATTCAAAACTTCTTTTACATTTCGACTACATATATGATCCACTTTCAATAAAGATTAATGTTGAAATGGGTGAAATGCTCCTTCAAGTGTCTTGCTCAGGGACACATTGGTGTCTCACAGTGGATTCGAACCTGGGTCTCTCACACCAAAGGCATGGGTCTTATCCACTGCGCCATCACCACCCTAAAATACTATACAAATACTCAATTGAACTGATAAAATGGTGTTAAAAAGTAAAATAAATTGAAAAAGGCGAACAGTTGTTGTACCTAAAACAGTTTAAAGATATAAACTTCGCCTTGATTTTAAATCAGTGATATTGTTGTATTATTTCAGCTCCATGGATCCAGTTTGTGCAGGACTCCAGGGAAATGTGGGATTAAACGGAAGGAGACCTGAGGTGGCAGTCGGGTCATATCCTGGAAGGAGCTTGTCATGGTATTGTACATTAATAATGCATAATATCTCAGAAGACAATCTGTGCGGGGCTACATGCTTTTTTGCTGCTGACAGACTGTATACAGACTATTTCCAACTTTATCTGAATAGTGACAAGCTGGTTTACACAACAAAGCAGTCTTTCTGATTTCATTGAGCGTTACATCGTCAATGTTTTTTCCAATTGAGCAATTCTCTCTCTCTCTCTCTCACCTCCCCCTCAATCTCTCTCTCTCTCATGCTAAGAATCCTCAGGAAATGACAGGGTACACGCAGAACGCCCACTTGACTACAAACTCTTCCCGGCAACACTGTACATCACACTGTTTTTTTGGACAGTGCTTCTCACAATCACAACCATAAAACGCTTGTCATGTGACTTGTGCGTTTGAGTGCAGCGTAACCATGACAACCTCAAGACATGCTGCATGGTTTAGTCAGTGCTTTTCTCAATTCAGATTTTAGGTGGTGGACGTGAAATATCTGAGGACAAATGTGAGAAACTGTGGACTCTGTTAAAGCGATAAGCATGATTGTGAAATGCTTAAACTCTCTTTAAACCAAAGGTAAAATCAACGGAAGCAACTTGTTTTCCATTTATAACAGGAAAGCCACAGCAAAATAGTATAGTAGGCCTATACTCTATTGGTGAAAAGTCTGGGGTCTGAAAGATTGTTGTTGTTTTTTAAGACATTAATACGTCTAATCTACGGAGGCGTATTGCATTCACTTGAAGAAAAAAAATCTACTCTGTTTTTCTGAATTAATGAGTTAATTTTTCATGAGAAAATTTTTTTTTGCTCTGTTTTTCTGAATTAACGAGTTAATTTTTCATGAGAAATTTTTTTTGCTCTGTTTTTCTGAATTAATGAGTTAATTTTTCATGAGAAAAAACATTTTTCTCTGTTTTTCTGAATTAATGAGTTAATTTTTCATGAGAAAATATTTTTTTCTCTGTTTTTCTGAATTAATGAGTTAATTTTTCGTGAGAAAAAATGTTTTTGCTCTGTTTTTTCTGAATTAACTCGTTAATTCAGAAAAAGCAGAGCAAAAAAAAAAATTCCATGAAAAATTAACTCGTTAATTCAGAAAAACAGAGCAAAATATTTTTTTTTCTCATGAAAAATTAACTCATTAATTCAGAAAAACAGAGCAAAATATTTTTTTTCTCATGAAAAATTAACTCATTAATTCAGAAAAACAGAGCAAAAAAAAATTCCATGAAAAATTAACTCGTTAATTCAGAAAAACAGAGTAAAAACTTTTTTTCTCATGAAAAATTAACTCATTAATTCAGAAAAACAGAGCAATTTTTTTTTCTCATGAAAAATTAACTCGTTAATTCAGAAAAACAGAGTAGATTTTTTTTTCTTCAAGTGAATGCAATACGCCTCCGTACTAATCAGCAAGGATTCATTCAATTGATAATAATGACATTTATAATGTTGCAAAGATTTTGTTTTTTTCTAAATACTGTTCTTTTGACATTTCTAGTCATTAAAGAATCCTGAAAAAAAAAATGCAGCACAAATGTTTTCTGCATTAATAAAATAAAAAAAAACTTGTTTCTTGAGCAGCAAATCAGAATAAAATGATTTCTGAAGGATCATGTGACACTGAAAAATTCAGCTTTTCATCACTGGAATAAATTATATTTTAAAATATATTCATATAGAAAACAGTTAGATTTAAATTGTAATATTATTTGACAATAATAATGCAATTTTGATCATATAAATGCAGAAGAGACTTCTTTCGAAAATCCTTTTCAATGGTATCAAGCTGCACCAGTCCTCCTCTTTGTTGTTTTGCGTGTGTGTGTGTGTGTGTGTGATCACGTCACACTCTGCAAGTGATAAACACAGCATTCATTTAGAACTATTAAGTTTTCATTGCCTATTAACCACAGTGAACCCCTCTAAGAGGTTAATAACGTTGAATCTCATATTTGTTGTGAGAATGGGTTAAATTACTCCCATATGAAATTAGGCCTTTGATGAGCATGAACCCAAAGCCACATGTGACTAAAACTTGGATCCAGACGGTAAGCTGGAAATCTGACCATTCCTGAGGAACTCTGCCAGACCACATTCATCATGGGAAATCACCACCAGCGGCTTTATTTTTTGTGCTATTTTGTAAATAGTTGTTTCACATGAGAACAACTAATGACATTAGTCTGATGTTTTTGGGGTACAGTATTATCTAGGGACCATGCATTCTCTAAAAAAAATAAATTACATCAAAAGACAATATGTGAATATTGCTGTATGGAATTGAATAGTATAGTCTATATTTCGTTTTGGAGTATCTCATAGTCTCATAATCATCTCAGCCTGATGCCAAATGCTCTTCCCACACAAACATCTTGCTTCACCCCCTTCTTTTGACAGGAGGATTCTCTCCTTGAAAGACTGGACATGTGCGCCATTGCACATAATGTGCCAAAGAAAAATTAAAACTGCATTTGCAATCCATTTTACTGACGTTATGGGATATTTCCGAGTTAAACTGGATTAATTTGAGGCACAAACGTAGAGCTGGACTCTCTGTGTGTCAAAAAAATGTCATTAGTTTGATAGGGAGGGGTTGAAAAATAAGAGGAATTGGTGATCATCAGCCAAACAAACTCTTAGAAGAAATGGTTCTATTTAGAACCAGAAATGGTTCCATCCCCGCTTCATATATGGAACTCCATTTTTTTTGGTAAAAGGTTCTATTGGCCATGTATGGAACCCCAGGGTTCTATATAGAACCCAGAGGAACCCTTTTTTAAGAGTCTATAGAACCTTTTAGGGGTTCCAAATATGTAGCGCTGATAAAACATTTTAAGGTTCTATATAGAACCTTTTCTTCTAAGAGTGTACAGTACTCATGTTGGACCCAGTTGACTTTTTAACACCAAAAAACCTTCTTTTGTGTTTCACAGTGGGAAGACAGTCAAACACCTTCGATTGGAATGACGAGAGTGAGTAAATGACAGAATTTTTTGTGTGAACTGTCCTTTTAAGTGTCTTTTATTACCTATGAACTTCATTGTGCATTGCATCTACTTGTATGTATTTACATTCACCTAAAGGATTATTAGGAACACCTGTTCAATTTCTCATTAATGCAATTATCTAATCAACCAATCACATGGCAGTTGCTTCAATGCTTTTAGGGGTGTGGTCCTGGTCAAGACAATCTCCTGAACTCCAAACTGAATGTCAGAATGGGAAAGAAAGGGGATTTAAGCAATTTTGAGCGTGGCATGGTTGTTGGAGTATTTCACAATCTGCTCAGTTACTGGGATTTTCACACACAACCATTTCTAGGGTTTACAAAGAATGGTGTGAAATGGGAAAAGCATCCAGTATGCGGCAGTCCTGTGGGCGAAAATGCCTTGTTGATGCTAGAGGTCAGAGGTGAATGGGCCGACTGATTCAAGCTGATAGAAGAGTAACTTTGACTGAAATAACCACTCGTTACAACCGAGGTGTGCAGCAAAGCATTTGTGAAGCCACAACACGCACAACCTTGAGGCGGATGGGCTACAACAGCAGAAGACCCCACCGGGTACCACTCATCTCCACTACAAATAGGAAAGAGAGGCTACAATTGGCAAGAGATCACCAAAATTGGACAGTTGAAGACTGGAAAAATGTTGCCTGGTCTGATGAGTCTCGATTTCAGTTGAGACATTCAGATGGTAGAGTCAGAATTTGGCGTAAACAGAATGAGAACATGGATCCATCATGCCTTGTTACCACTGTGCAGGCTGGTGGTGGTGGTGTAATGGTGTGGGGGATGTTTTCTTGGCACACTTTAGGTCCCTTAGTGCCAATTGGGCATCGTTTAAATGCCACGGCCTACCTGAGCATTGTTTCTGACCATGTCCATCCCTTTATGGCCACCATGTCCCCATCCTCTGATGGCTACTTCCAGCAGGATAATGCACCATGTCACAAAGCTTGAATCTTTTCAAATTGGTTTCTTGAACATGACAATGAGTTGACTGTACTAAGATGGCCCCCACAGTCACCAGATCTCAACCCAATAGAGCAGCTCTGGGATGTGGTGGAACGGGAGAATCGCATCATGGACGAGCAGCCGATGAATCTGTGTGATGCTCATGTCTATGGAGCAGAATTTCTGAGGAATTTTTCCAGCACCTTGCTAAATCTCTGCCACGATGAATAGGACTTAAAGGGGGAAATGAAGCAGTGAATCAAGTTTACATGATTTACAAGATGGATTTCCAATATAATCAACAATTATATAAGGAACATTACAAATGTAAACATTTAGAAGAAAAAAAGAAAAAAACTTTGTATCTTTCGCCGCCAGGGCGCCGCCATTGTGCAGGTGACGTCACGGGGTTGGTTGGCTCAATTTTAACAGGTTCTGGGCATTGAAAATCGCGACATCAAACTGTGTTTACACCAGTGTTTTGACCGCGAACGACTAATGTTAGGTACAGATATTAGACAAAAAGACGACGTCTCATGTTATATGTTGACAAACTGCACATAGAAACATTGTTCGCGATGTCTGCCGTCAGATATTCCCGTCTCGTCAATAACATGTAAGTTAGCACGTATTTGTTAAAGGGGAAATGAAACGTCCATATTTTCGCACTGGTAGTGCTAGTAACGTTAGCTACAGCCTACATATACTAGGAAAAAGTGTCTCCGCTCTGACATCCTTCAGGGAAAGCATCGCCGCTTCCACACGTCTAATAACTCCACACAGCATTTCTTCCTCAGGCACAGCATGGTAAACGTGCGCGCCGGTGATGCAGAATTGACCACGCAACACATGCTCAAGATCAACCTCTTGACAACAGATGGACTTTGACACGGAGGGCATCGCAGGACAACAGCCACACTGACGCCTGGTAAGTTTGCGTTGCAAACCCGCTCTTCGCCCCAAACCACCACTGACTGTTCTACACAGCAACGTAACTTACATGGTGTTGACGAGACGGGAATATCTGACGGCAGACATCGCGAACAATGTTTCTATGTGCAGTTTGTCAACATATAACATGAGACGTCATCTTTTTGTCTAATAACTGTACCTAACATTAGTCGTTCGTGGTTAAAACACTGGTGTAAACACAGTTTGATGTTGCGATTTTCAATGCCCAGAGCCTGTTAAACTTGAGCCAACCAACCCCGTGACGTCACCTGCACAATGGCGGCGCCCTGGCGGCGAAAGATACAACGTTTTTTTCTTCTAAATGTTTACATTTGTAATGTTTCTTATATAATTGTTGATTATATTGGAAATCCATCTTGTAAATCATGTAAACTTGATTCACCGCTTCATTTCCCCTTTAAGACCGTGTGTGAGTGTGAGTGATAAATATATAACATTTGCACTCCGCTGACACTTTGACGTGGAGCGATTTGTTCTTTGAAGCACAGAAAACACAATGACACGTGTCAATCATATGCCTATGTATGTCACTCGTTTTAGGCATGCTGTAATTACATGAGAAATGCTTTTCACAAAGTTATTCTTCCACACAGCGGCCGGCTTGCGCTGCCAGACGACTGCAGAGACAAAAGGAACAAAGTGAAATGGACAAATTGCTGTGAGTCTGAATTGCAAAAAGATTTCGCACCCTGGACACGAGGGAGACTTTGCCCCAACGTGTGTCATCCACTCCAAACCCTACATAGAGAGCGACCTCGCCGTCTACATAGGCAGCTGCCTTCTAAAGCAGCGTTCTTCTAAAACTGCACACAGCAAGGTACTCGACTAATCTTTATAAGTTAAGTCTGATGTTGGCATTTCGCTAATGCCTGGTTCAGGTTACACGATTTTAGCCCGATTTTGGCACGATCCGTTTGACGTAGGGTGTCGTGGGGATTCATAAACGACAACTGGCGTCGGGACACAAGATTCGATCGTATCATCTCGTATAGTGTGTCATAGTGGGCGACAACCTACGTCGCGTCTGCGATGCTTCACGACATCACGACAAAAAGTTAATTTTTTTAACGGTCGTCCATGACGGTTCCGTCACATGTATGAGGTTGACCAATAGGAGCACAGAACGAGGGCTTGGAGCCAGAAGGGGCGTAAGTGGCTTTCAACAAACTTTACAGGAAAGACAAAACAAAATTTTGACCATGCTACAATCACCTGTATTATTAACCTTAAACCACAAACATTGCAACCACAGGCATACTTACATGAAACTAGTATTTAAGTAAAAAAATGTTTGGCATATTAACACAGTGAACATGTTCTAAAACATTTTCAAAAAAACAAAAAGTCAAATAAGTCAGATACGCCTTTTTGTTGCTTTATTCAATACAGTTTGATCTCAGATAGGTATTTTGGTACCATTGGATAGAGCTCATTGAGACCTTTATTTTGATATAAAGAACTCATATTCGCCCAAAATGCCACTTACGTCCCTCTGGCTCCAAGCCCTCGAGAAGCTTTTACGTACACAACTTTCAAAAATGGCGAAACGAAAGAGAGACAATGGTGCTAACGTTGAAACTAAAAGCAAAAATATATAAGAAAACAATATTTTACCTCAAGTTCTCTTTGGAGGATTGACAGCCCATACTGTCCTCTTCGAGCAATCCAGGAACGTGTCCATTGTCGGGTTTATTTTACTTTTTTTCTGAACACAGGAAAGCCAACACAACACTCACCGCTTTATCAATTGTTTGTTTACGTTCGTTTCCGGAAGTCACTCGCTACTAGTTTCGCCTTCTCGATGACACCACGCACCTCGTTAAAGACGGCACGCGATGACTGGTCAGGAAGCAACGTGTAGTCTGACATGTGTCTTGTCCACGACACGACAAGATTTTAAGAGTCAAAATCGCATAATCGTAACAGACAAAAAAATCGTGTAATCTGAACCAGGCATAAGACCAAATAAATACAAATCTTGAGTGAAATTAGATTGTAATTAGAACTATTTGTATTTATTCCATTAGGACTAATATTTAGTCGCTTTACAAAACATGTTTGTATTTGTAAATATGAACATATACATTTAACAGCAAAAAAAGACGTACTCGCTCCAAAAGTTTACACAGTAGTGTACCTCATTTTTAACTCTTAAAGGGATACTCCTCCCAAAAAGGAAAATTCTGTAATCATTTACTCACGCTCAAGTATGTATGAGTTTCTTTCTTCTGCTGAACACAAAGGAAGTTATTTTGAAGAACGATTGGAAACAAACAGTTGTTTGGCACCATTGACTTCCATAGTAAAAAATAAGTAAATACTATGGAAGTCAATGGTGCCAATCGTTCTTCAAAATAACTTCCTTTGTGTTCATAGACATATACACTAGACCTCACCTTGGCTACGGCAGTTCATTGGAACGAATGCGTCAATAGAGCCGCCATATTGAAACAGGGGAGCCCCTCCACTTTAATGCATCAGCATCAATGTAGTAGACACAGGTCTAACGGAAATAAAATCACCATAAATCATCATGAATGCGATTTTTCTTGTTTTTTTGGTTTGTTCCAACAGTCAGACATGTATTTATCATTGATTCCAGAAAGAATTTTTTTTTTAAAAACGTTCTTCCTAGTTCAGATTTCATCCGTGAACATCATACGCTGCACAAAAGTCCGCCACCATCAATGAATTCGAAGTAAAGGCAGAGATAGCAGCGTTACCTAGCTACTTCCTATGACAAGACCCCTGTTCCAAGATGGCGGCGGTTTTGATGCATGCTTAGAACCCCAAGGTGAGGTCTAGTGTATATGTCTATGCTTTGTGTTCAGCAGAAGAAAGAAACTCATACAGGTTTGCAACAACTTGAGGGTGAGTAAATGATGACAGAATTTTCATTTTTGGGTGGAGAATCCCTTTAAGATATAGATAGATAGATAGATAGATAGATAGATAGATAGATAGATAGATAGATAGATAGATAGATAGATAGATACTTCCTTCCTTCCTTCCTTCTTTCCTTCCTTCCTTCCTTCCTTCCTTTCTTCCTTCCCTCCTTCCTTCCTTCCTTCCTTCCTTCCTTCCTTCCTTCCTTCCTTCCTTTCTTCCTTCCCTCCTTCCTTCCTTCCTTCCTTCCTTCCTTCCTTCCTTCCTTCCTTCCTCCCTCCCTCCCTCCCTCCCTCCCTCCCTCCCTCCCTCCGTTAAGGAAATTCAAGTTTCCAGTAGCAACAATTAATTAAAAAAAAAAAAAAAAAAAACCCAGACAAAAATATATAAAAATTAAATTACAGGGATGAGTTATAAAGCCGTATCGCCTGAGGGACAAAGGACTTCCTCAGTCTGTCGGTGGAGCAGGACAAAGAGAGCATCCTGTCGCTAAAGGTTGAAGCTGCGTTGTGTTTTTACATTGGCAAACTGTATTGCAGTGAAGGTTTTGCGCTTGACATCTTCTCACGCATGTGAGCGCCAATGCTGTCCTCCTCTTAATGAGAGTGGATGTTGATGACCGTTATGGAGTGCTTCCGTTCTCCTCCCCGCAGTGCGCTCTTCACGGGGGGCCGCAGGAGTTCGGCGCTCAACCCTTCAAGCATCTTCGTCACCACCAAATCACCATGGCAATAGCGGGCGCCGAGGGCCCTGAATGAGGCACCGACTCTGTTTGAGACGTCTGCTGAGCCGCGAGGATGGGAATCGCACAGTGGAACAATACAAGGAAAGTAAACCCTTCAATGTAAAATTCCTTCTTAATAATTAGAGCACTGTTTTTGATGCTTTATAAAGTGCTCTGATGTTGAAGGGCATCTGGTTCTGGCGAGGTCTTCGATTAAGAGAACTCTCTACTGCTGATATATTGCTGGAAATTGAGTGTTTTTGTACTTTTTTCCCCTTGGAAACTTCTGGCAGCTATTGATTTTAAACTGCTTTCCCATCTTTGGAGCACAGTGTGATAAAAATAACACTCTCCACAATTATGCTATATTATTAACTGTAGTTTATATAACACAGCACTCTTCTTCTCTATGTGAATGTGTGCATATGTTGACCTTTAGATTCTCTGCAGATATTCATCAGTTTTTGTGAGTTAGTGTGCTCCCCCTCACCTCATTTCAGACTATATAAATGATGGTGAACAGATCCCAGCAGGACACTGGGTTGAACCCTGTGTGTCATTGCTCGGGTCATGCGGCCGGGGTGAAAGCATTTGGCTTTTGTAATTCTGCTGATTACTAGAGAAAAACCTGGTGTCTGGTTTAAAGGCTTACCGGGAGATCTGACAGACAAAACTGAAGAAAAAAACGAAAAACTTTTAGAAATTGAATGGAATAGTTCACAAAAAAAAAAAAAAAATGTCATTATTTACTAATCCTCATGCCGTTCCAAACCCAGAAGCTCTTGTTTCTGGGTATTAATCTGTTAACACAGTCCTTTAATCTGTTAACAGACTGCCCAATTTGCAGGCTTTATTTTCCCAGAGGAATATTTTATTGCTCAAAGGTTTCTCTTTTAATTTTAGGAGATTTACTGGATACACTGTAAAAAAATGATCGTGATTTTAACAGTAAAAGACATAATTAAAGACATAAAGATAATTCTACAGTGAAAAACTGTTAATTGGTTAACAAAACCTATATACGGTAAATAACTGTGATAGATCTTATGGTAAATTTCATGTAATTTTACTGTAAAATACTGTTAAATTTACAGTTTTTAAAGTGAAAATGAACAATTCATCGTATAATTTACTGTGAAAAAACTTAAATTGACATTCCCACAATTCCCTGCATGACACTCCACACTTGATGTATTTTTGTTGAAATAACTTGTTTCTTCATAGTTTGCTTAGTCTTTTTCTAATCAATTAGGTACATTAGGGTTTTGTGTGACATTTAATGTTGTTAAATTAATGTTTATTGCCTTTTTAAAATTTCATGTGTGTTACCATGATGGTGTTTAATGTTTGAGTGAATGACACTGTGCCGCTTCTGTATGTTAATATTAAGTTTCTTGTGAAAGACCTACATGTGATGAGTTTCTAAATATCATGTGACTCTTATTACTACTGTGATTGATGGATGTAAATAAATTACAATCGTATAAAACAGATATTAACACTTCAAATGGTCGATAAATTAACAGTATATTAGATAATTAAATACGGTTTATTTCCGTAAATTTTAAGTTAAGCCTGTAAAACCTTATTACCGTAAATTCTTGCTACCGTATTTTATACGGTAAATTTCTGGCAACCACAGCTGCCGGCATTTTACGGTAAATTGAACACATTTTTTTTTACAGTGTATGTTAAAGGGTTAATTCACCCAAAAATGGTAATTCTGTCATTGAGTGCATTTACATGCACGTTCTTAACCCGATTATGTTTACTAATCTGGCGCTGCACATGATCACGTAAACATGTTAACCCAATTTCAAAGCACTCGCATCACTTCATAAAATTTAGGTTAAACCACAATAGGTTACTTTAATGATGTCTTTACTACCTTTCTGGGGCTTGCAAGTGGTATGTAGCGGTCAATGGAGGGACGGAAAGCTCTCAGATATGAATAAAAAGATCTTCATTTTACGGGTTTGGAATGACATGAGAGTGAGAAATTAATGACAAAATTTTCAAAACTCACTCTCAGATGTTTCACCTAAAATGTGTCAAATTGTTCAAAAGTAATATAATAGTAAGGTTATAGATCTATAAAATGTGTAAAGCAGCTCATAATGTGTTTACATCCATGTTAAGATCTTTTTATTGCAGACTTTTTTTTTTTTAAAACCTAGAGCAATGTTTTTCAACTGGTTTTGTTTCAGGATGTGACCTGTTTTTTGGTTTTGTTTTTAACCACAACAACTTCATCTGAAATAACTGGGTAACTAAGGTCTATGTTTGAATCTAATAATCTAAACAGCTGTCTAGAAGAAACAATTTAGATTTAATTTGTGATTTTGTTCCTGCAGGTCTCTTATGCTCAACAAGGGTGCATTTATTTGATCAAAACAATAGAATTCTAATCATCAGAATCCATGAAGGCGATTTTAAAAAGATTGGTTTTTAGCGACTTCTTGAAACTGGTTAATGTGGGAGTATTTCTAACAGCTAGAGGAAGTGCATTCCAGAACCTGGGTGCAGCGACCGAGAAAGCTCTGTTAAGTAAGGCAGATCAATAATGTAGTTGAATATTAAATTAAATGTTCCCAAATAAGCAAGCCAAAAGCCCAAAACTCTATCAAGTATCAAGTGACAGAATGCAGAAATATCCTTGGTTTTCTCATAGAGTATAGCCCTCTCTTCTAGTTCTTCAAGTTTCTCAAGTCTAAAAAAACTAAGAAACGTGTTACACTCCTGCATAGAGGAACAAATTGACGGCTTAATCGGTGCGAGAATATTAAATCTTAAATCTTAAAAATCTTGTTGTGGTTTGCAGCACCATCACTTATGATGGACTGTAAAATCTAACATTGTTCTTACTAGGAATTTTTTTGTTAACTTTACTTAATGTCGAATAATTTGATGAACTTACTTAAAATTTCTTAGTAATTTGTTTCTTAGTAATTCTTAGTTATCAAACATTACTTGACTGGTTTGAGTACCACATTTGCCCCACTTAATTTGTATTTTTTTAATTCTCTTCCAATTGATTGCATGCAACATGAAATCACAATTTTTTGATTTCAAAGGAAGTGAAGCAATATATATACACATAATATATGTATATTTTTTTAATGATTTAATTAATTGACCGTTACATTTTTTTTTTTTGCGGTCTCTTGTAGGCTATAACCCCAATAACCATAGCAAATAAAAAAAAAGCCAAAAATAGATAAACAAAGCAATTAATTTATTCATGCAATTTTGATATTTTTAGGTCAAACGTTTGTGTCTATCAGTCATATAATGGTGTTTTATGGGGTCTTCCTCAAAGAGCATGCACAGAGAAGTCCAAATTAAACATGATTTAATGACTCGTAAATGTAAGTACACATTAATGGCCTAAGACACGAAACGAGCGGTTTGTGTGAGAAAATGAACAGTATTTATATCGTTTTTACCGTAACCACAGCAACATCCAGGTAAAAAAAATATAAATACTGTTCGTTTTCTCACACAAACCGCCCCTTTCGTGTTTTAGGCCATCAATGTGTACATACATTTACAAGTCATTGAATCATGTTTAATTTGGACTTCTCTGTGCATGCGCTTTGAGGTGGTGACCATAGACCTCCATTATATGACTGATAGACATGAACGGTTTGACCTAAAAATATCAAAATTGAAAATACTGTGGAAACAAAGACACCTACATCTTGGATGCCCTTGAGGTAAGCTAAAACATATCAAAATTAATTTCAAAGTGAACTACCCCTTTAAAGAATTATTGTTCACTATACTTACAGTCTTGGAGAGCTATCTTTGTGATTATAGTCAGGATTATTCACTAGTTAATGGATTATAACAAATGCATAATGCCAAAATGACTGTTGGAGAATGATGGTTCAGTGATTATGGTAGTATGTGATGGTTTAAGTGATGCTGATTTTTCTCAGTGCAGGTGATTGTCGGCAGTGAGGGAATCACCGAGCACACACACACACACACACACACACGGGCTCTCTTCAGTCTCACGCTCCTCTAGTGCTCTACAGACCTTCATTACTCCAGTCGGTCGATGTGAGACGCGGATGACAAAGTTAAAATCGCAGGTGCACGAAGCGACCCGTCCATTTGCAGCCGTTATAAAGAAGAAGGAGGAGGATTATATCGCGTGCCATTCTGTGATGGTGAGTTTGCGCTTCTTCGCGTTTCTTCAGTCATTAATCGCAGTCTAGCACTACAACGATACATTGAATGTGCATGGGCGACCTCCGTTCACAATAACACGACTATCAACGACATTCGGTTCACGCGTGTTTTCTATAGACGGATTAATCATGAATTAACGATAAGTGAATATTCAGGGACCGCAGAGATCATTGGGCTTTGCTTTCTTTGATATGTTCAGTTATGTAATTTAAAGATGATTTCTGGGTTATAATGCACCGATTCATCAACACCATCACTTTAAAATGATGCATTTCAATGCATCCCAAACATGTTGACGGAAACCGTTTCTCAGTATAGTAGCGTTTTTTATAAAGTAGAATTAAATTAAAACGAAATTATATTAGTGTTCTTTCCAAATGTGACTTTATTTTAATGACATTTCATCACCTTTTAGTTGACTGTAACGCAGAAACTATTTATATATTATTTAAACATTAAATTGATACATCGAGGCTCTATACCTTAAACGTATAGCCAACTGATCTAAATAAAAAAACTGTCCAGACAGGATGATTTCATTACTCTATTACAGTAATGAGAATCTAATGAGAACCATCATTAAGAATAATGAAAAATACAGCCATTGAGGCTAACACATGACAACAAATGGATGTATTCAATAGCATTTGTCTCTTTTGGGGTGAAATATGATCTAAACAGCAATACACTGATATGCACCTCATGAACCAAATTCATGTCTGTCTTAGCCAGAGAAATGTCGCCAGTGTCATTTAAAGCAAAGCACCAGTGTAAAGCCAATAATCAGACGGCTTCTCTCATGCATTAAGTCTGTTTGTCTCTTTCTAACGCCTCACATCATTAGTAAATCAATCCAGATTTCTGCAGTGAATATGAAGGCATGCAGTGAGTCACCATGCAAAACACTGTATACTCCCTTTCAAGTGATTGCCTCAGAACGAATCAAATGTTCAAAAAGTGCATGCATTGACCTCTATTTTAAGCGTCCTTACACACATTTGACCTCGTAAAGGTTTCGGCATTATGAACCTTATGAAGTAGCCTACCATAAGGCTTGATGTGATGCTTTCTCTGTGTCTTTTTGTGTAGTGGAAAAGATGCCTCACCATTAATAGGCTACAGCATCAGCGTTATACCAATTTACAAGAACATACAATGTTAAATGACCATGGTTATTATTGCCAGATGCTGTTTTGCCTTTGCTTCAAGACACAGAGCCCGTTCAAAACAGAGCCGTGTTCAGCCCTGTGCTTCTCATTATGATGGTTATCAGAGCCTCAGTGTGTTTCGCATCCATATATATATATATATATATGATAAAAAAACCTTGTTTGATTGACACTGTCTTTTTCTCCTTGAAGTGCCTGTGTGCATTGCAAAAATAGCTTATAAAGAGTGTATTTGCAAGCAAAAGATGTACATTTTCTACAAAAGCAGAGCTCTGTGAATGTAAAGCATTCACATGCAACCAGAACAAACCATCAGAGGTATAGTGTGAAATCTGATTTTTTTTACTGGTGACTTAAATTCTTGTATTTCTGATCATGCAAGAACCAAGTTCTCCGGCTGCATGT